GCTCCTGAGAATTTTAAAATCTGTTTTGGTAATGCGATAGAAGTAAAGAACAGAAAATCATAGTACCTGACACTAATTTATCTTCAAATAAAATGTTTAATAGTGATGAAGAATTTCACAAGGATTATTTCAACAATGTGTGTGACAGACACTATAAGAATGTCCTCACCCACCCAAGGGAGCACGCGCGCGCGCGCGCACACACACACACACACACACACACACACACACACAGAGTCAGTAAGAAATCTCCTAAAGTTTGCAGCATGAAAACTTCCTCCTCTGAGAAGCTCCTCTCTCCTTTAGCAAGAAATTACCTAATAAATATTGTTTTCTTTGTTCCTGTCTCAGTGCATAGGGCCACAGATGCTCAAGGGAACACGTACCAATCCCACAGGCCACAGCTCTATACTCTCTTTGTGGAGAAATCATTGGGTGAGCAATCAGTCTCCACTAGCCTGGGAAGGAAATCTAAAGTCAAAGCTCCTGTATGTAAAGCAAACTGCATTTTTCCTATTCAGCTGAGCATCGTTCCAGCATATGAGGACCACAGTGAAGTCCATAGGAGTACAGCCAATGTGCCAGCATATTGGGTAGAGTGGCCAGGGTTGGATAGAGTGGTCTTATTTCCAACAAAATAAACATGTAAATGAAGAGATGGAATTATTGATGGTATGGAGAAATTTTTAGAAAATGGCCCTGGCCAAATCGACAAATGACAAGCGCTGGCAAGGATGTGGAGAAAAAGGAACCCTCGTGCACTGCTGGTGGGAATGCAGACTGGTGCAGCCACTGTGGAAGACAGTATGGAGTTTCCTCAAAAAGTTAAAAATGGAACTCCCATTTGACCCAGTAATCCCACTTCTAGGAATAGATCCCAAGAAACAAGAAACACCAAACAGAAAGGACATATGCACTCCTATGTTCATAGCAGCACAATTTACCATAACTAAGATTTGGAAACAGCCTAAGTGCCCATCAGCAGATGAGTGGAATACTACGCTGCTGTAAAAAGAAAGAACTCTTACCATTCACAACAGCATGGATGGACCTGGAGAGCATTATGCTAAGCGAAATAAGCATAATGACCTCATTCATTTGTAGAATATAATAAACAACATAAACAAATCCAAAGTCAGAGAAGCATTGAACAGACCATCAAACTTCAGAGGGAAGGCAGGAGAGCGGGGAGTGGTAAGAGATCAACCAAAGGACTTGTATGCATGCATTTGAGCATAACCGATAGACACAGACAGTAGGGGGGTGAGGGCATGTGGGGTGGGGAGGGGGGAGCGGTGGCCGGGAAGAGGTCAATGGGAAAAAAAGAAGACATATGTAATACTTTAAACAATAAAGAATTTTTTTAAAAAAAGCCGGGTTCTCAGTGCCGCTCCTGCTGCTGTGTGGGCTGCTGCTGCCGCTGGCTCTGCAGCGCGGCGGTGATGGAGCGCCAGGGACCCAGCGAACTGACAGGCTCTGAGGCGTCGGGACCGGACCCGCAGCTGGCCGTCACCATGGGCTTCACGGGGTTCAGGGAAAAAGCTCATACATTTTATTTGGACGCAATGTTTGAACAGACTCGAAGAACAGCTGTGGAAAGGAGTCGGAAAACACTGGCGGAACCAGTATTTGGAAGGCTGGGCGAGAGGTGGCTCTCAGAGCTGTGTATACCACTGACTGTTGACCCAGACAGTATAGAAAATTGAGACATACAGTGAGTGTGGCTGCTGCCCTTGAATCCCTGCATTCATGAGCTGTATCAGACATTTAATGAAGGCCTTAATTTCCAGACTCTTTGTTTTGATAGCAGGTGATTGCCAATTCTAGATACCACCACCTCAGGGTCGTTGAAGGAGGCTGACTCCACACTGCTTTCTTTGGAACTGCTTCAGATCATTCTTACCCTGGATAGAGTGGAAGGGGCTAGGAATCAGACAGGAGTCCTGGGGAAAAATTAATTGAATGTTGTTCTTGTCATTGTTGGTTTTAAAATATTATAGCAGTAATATTTGATATTTGGGAAGTGAGCTTCACATGAAATATTTTTGGCCTCTGGAAGAAAAAAAAAAAGAAGAAGAAAAAACAGAAGACAAGGAAATAGCCCTGGCCATGAGGGCTGACACATCAACCATAATGTTCTCAACTGAACATGAAAAACCTTTACAGAATATAAGCAATAATTAGACAAGGCCACTCCATGACGGAGATGGAACAAGACCAAAAAAAGGCCACTCTGTGAGTATGTCTGGAACAAAAGAAGGACAAAGACTCTTAACAAACAAAAGCCTTAGCTAAAATTAGTAGTTACTCCTTTTTTTTCTTTTCAATTTCATTAATTTTCTTTTTTATTTATTTTTTATTTTCTTAATCTTTATTGTTGAAAGTATTACACATGTCCCCTTTTTCCTCCATTGACCTCTCCCAGCCCGCCCCCACCCCAGGCCTTCACCAACCTATTGTCTGTGCCCATGGTTATGCATATATGCATATGCTAAGCAAAATAAGCAGTCAGAGAAAGGTAAGTATCACATGATTTCACTCATATGTGGAATATAATGAGCAACATAAACTGATGAACAAAAATAGATCCAGAGACGTAGAAGCATCGAACAAACTGTCAAACCTCAGAAGGGAGGAAGCGGAGGGTGGGTGGATGGGTGGGAAGAGGTCAACTAGTCACTCCTTCTTTATTCACTTTTATTTTTCTCCCCTCTCAGGTACAGATTACCAAAATATCCAATTGCTGAATTCCTGATAATGCTCAAAACAGAATTCCCCTTCACTTCCTAAATCCTTCTTAGACTCACCCTGCATAAGCCTTCTCAAGTACCTCTTGTCCAGCACTCTGGTCCCTCTGGGGTGTGCTTTCCCTTGCTGTCTAACTTCATTTGTCCATGTATGTGCTCCTAGTGCTCATTGGCTATTGAGCATTGACAGTGTGAATTGTGCCAAGAGCATCTGTTACCTCTCAGAAATCTTACTTGCTTCTTTTTTTTAAAATCCTTAGCGGAGGATATTTTTTCCATTGATTTTTAGAAGACAGAGAGAAATATTGATGTGAGAGAAACACATCGATTGGTTGCCTCCTGCACAAGCCCCAACCAGGGCCTAGGCCAGGGAGGAGCTGCAACCAAGGTACACACCCTTGACCAGAATCAAACCCGGGACCCTTAGGTCTGCAGGCCAACGCTCTATCCACTGAGCCAAACCACCTAGGGCCACCTTACATGCT